CGGCTAAGCTAAAGTACTGTAGTGTTAGCTACTAAAACTTTTGAACAACTATGAGATTGTACAGCAGTCACTAAAAGATGGAAAGAACTGTGAGTGCTTAGGCAAAATTATTGTAAGAATAAGTGTTTAGGGGATAGTTGGCCGCTGTAATCTAACAAATGTAACTGGTATTCAGCAAGAGCAGCACAACACGGTACCAACACACAAGCACCGGAAACGGAAATGAGTCGACACGCTTACCGCAGTACATCAGCCTGTGAGAAAGTGAACAGCCAACTCCTAATAAGCTTTTTCAATGTTGATCGGAGGCTGCGGGGGAGGAGGGGTTGTCGGAGAATTACTAAGCTTGTCAATTAAACACGGGAGGCGTCACTTGGTTTTATTTTCGTTGGCCAACTTTTGATTGGAGGTTTTTGATGAGGGATGGACTTATGGACATTTGAACTGAGATGGACTCATTGCTGGTTGAACTGTGGGTTTTGTATTGAGCGCTTACTGTATAATACAGTTTACACTGGTTTCTTGTGATCTGTAGGTAGGCCGACCTGATGATATAATATACTATTTAATGCCATGACTTGACTCAAATTATCTTTCTCATATTATTATAATTTGATATTTCTTCACCACCATAACTCTAATTCATGCAATTCATGCATCACCTAATTTCATCATAACACAGGCCTGGCCTAAAAGAAAGAACAGTGTACAGGACTAAACGTTTTGGCAACTGGCCCCACCGAGCCAGTGGGTTTGAAACTTACTGTCCCTCCTCCCAAAAGTTATTTATCAGTGTTAACGTTACAACAAACCCAAAGACTCATGTTATGCTGCTAACATGTTTAATCGTTTATTAAATACATCCTGGATATTAAAAAAACTAAGCTAAAATGTAATCACAGTTAAAATGATAAAAAAAAATAAAAAGGTTAACAAAACAATTTACTTTTAAAACAAAACCTAAAAAAACAGACTCAAACATGACAGCCATTTAGCTAGGAGCTGGTTGAGTGAAAGGGAAAGGATTTGAGGACATCTACGGGCTGACGTGAGTAAAATTTTCCTTCTTTCCAACTATGAACAAGGATGTTCGTTTGCGTTCAGCTGCCAATTCCACACCTATGCAGTGTGTACCACAGTCGCTCTCGCGCATCAGTGGTACGTAACGTGTTGGGTAGTAATACTGTAATATAACTTTACCCAATAAAGAGTAATGTAACGGATTACTATTTCCAAAACAGTTATATTATTACAGTTAGGCTACTAATCCAAGTAATGCTGCGCTACTGAACGCACCATCCCTGATGTAAATGCACGACCACGCTGCAGGTCAGCGGCACCGGACCTGGACTTATCGGGAGAGAGTGGCGTTATGTCACCCACTAATAAGGAGAGTAGCTAATATTGCTTTTTTAAGGACTAAATGCTGAGTAAGTATTTGGTAGTAACTTTATTATTTCTGAGTAAGTTGCCCAACACTGAGTTGACAATAAGGATTGGGTATGTTTTGATTATTGCTTGTTATAGGCTATGTCTAATGTTTACTTTGACTTTGTTGTCGATTGATCAATCTCATAGGCTATGTAGGCTACATTTTGCTGTATGAATGGTTGCTTTTTAAGTCGTCCTTATGTTAAAGGTTTTGGCACGTTATAAATAAATTTTCTTGTGAATGGTTGTGACGGGTTTTATATAAGACCTTTTCAGAGTGCTTTAATCCACAGTGTCGCTCTGCGCTCCTCATCAACAGACAGGAAAACAAAAACTCTGCGAGGTAACCATGGCAACGGCTTCTGTGTAAGTGTCGCGATCCCGAGAAACTATTGCGGTCGTTCTCGTCTCACGCACACACCCGCCCACTGTCAGAGTTGAAATGTCAAACTTTTTCCTACAGTTTATCAATAGATGGAGACTGATCTGTTGTTAGATCTGAGTTTCCTGAAGAATATAACGTTTTTTTAACAATTAGGCCACCAGGTCTTAAACAGGCGACAACCTTTGCAGCTGTCTCTTATTCATTAAAGATCTATTAACTTCTACTGAACTAATTTGAAAGTTAGTAGTTATATTATTTAGCCTAGTTATAGACTTAATTATTTCATGTTGCACTTTTAGCAGTTGAAGTTTGGTAATAATACAAAATAAAAATTATAGAGAGTAGTGTTGTAGTCAAGACCGCCCAAATCGAGTCCAAGTCGAGACCAAGACCAGTTCCCTGCATTGCATGGCATGTAGTAAAATGTGGAACGAGATCATAAGTACTTCTCAAAGTGATCTGAAAGATCCACTTTCCCATTAAAACACTAAGAGCTGAAATCAGTGTAACCATTGCGGGAGGGGTGACGGTTGTTAACGAGAACACATGTTTAATTAGGGCTATTGGTTGCATTTGAAGCAATAAGTTTTACTTCCTTTTAAAAGTTAGGATGTTAACAATTCAGACAATGCAAAAGCAATTTATTGATATTCCCAGAGTTATGGTCTTGACTGGTCTTGAAATAAAATCCCGAGTCCTCAATGACCGAGACAGAGTACAAAGGCGGTCGAGTCCGAGACGAGACCATCAAACTTACTTAAGACCATCAAAAAGTGGTCTTAAGTAAGTTTGAGTACTACAACACTAATAGAGAGGTTGTGATGGCGCAGTGAATTAGACACTTGTCTTTGATTCCCACTGCAACACATCCACCAAATAAGTTATTGTCATGGGTCCTGCTTTAGCATCCATCTTATAATAGAGCCGCGGCCAGTTTTATCTGGGTGTAGGGGGGTCTCAGTATATTGTCCTGCTTTTTTGCCCTTTGCCAATCACATGCCTGATAAACTCATTTAGAAAGTGTTTACTGAGGGAATAAATCAGCAGAGAAGTGGCAACATTTTACCTTTACCAACACTCTGAGAATGTCGAGGTTTGTTGGAAAACGGCGTACATTGGTCTGACTTTCTACAGTTGGTCAGTGTTTGTCTGGACAGTGTGCAAGCAGCTTTATAAAGGCATGTGTTTCACACATAGACTTCACTCGTAAAAAAACTTGGCAGCCTGGTTCGTTATAATTCGCGGACACATGGTGGACATTTTACACGGACCAGGTTAAGCAAACAGTGAACACCCAAAGTGCTCCATTAATAAGCTGGCATGCAGCGAACCTACTGCCGTGATAACTGATCGCTGGTGGAAAACTCGTCAATAAAGACGAGTTCTGTGTCTTTTGGCCGAGTTTGATTCTGACTGAAGGGCTGGTTAGTGTTTATCATTGTCAGTGACATCAGAATAACAGCATAACTGAAATGGTGTGCAGTCGATAATGACTAGCAGCTATATACAGCGACAGGACAGCTGTACTCTAGCTAGGCGCCTTAAATGCTTTCTAACTAAACTTTTTTGAAGGTGGGTCTCTGACATTGACAGTGTTGCTCTGGTAAGATTTGTTCATTGGTGTTCATGATACTAACCATTGAATTCACAGTTGGGTCTGTGCAGTGGATGTCTCCACTATAGTGATCCTAATGATAATGCACTCTTTACATTCTTTACCTTCAGGTAGCCAGAATCTAGTGAGGTCCTTCAGTGTGTCCACACAAAGGGGAGGATTTAGTAAGTACCACTACAACATAGCTCACTGTGACCTGTCTCCTGTTGAAGGGCTTTCAGGGGTCTGCACTACCAAGCGAGATTAGTGGGTTTGTCTGGGCTTCACTCAGGAGGTGACATCAAGCTGGATCACCTTTAATCTGGGCAGATCACCATGATAGCTATGCTGCATGGTTTACCAGGTTAACTTACAGGATCACATCAAGTAAACCAATCACTGGAAAAAACATGCATCAGTGCTCCTATGAATAAGCAATTAAAATTATTTTATCAGGAAAACACTTAACTTAGCTCAAGCTTCAAACTATTCAGTCCAACTCTGCTTAAGTTGGATTTAGATTATTTAGGTCGAATGATATCCTGCCCTGATATTAAATTAGCTGCCTGCGCAGAGAGCAACTGTGCACACACCTGTTGGATAGGGTTGTGAATGCTGCTCATCACATCATCAACTCGGATGAAAGTCCCTCACAGTCTCTCCTCACCACCGTGGGAATGGACGACCTGGAGCAAAGTTGGTGTTGCTTACAGACCGAGAGGTGAATGGAGAGAAATACTCCTGAAGGTGACACGGTGGATGCTAGTCAGCAAACTGCTCTTTAGTACAGAAAAAGTAGGAGGTCCCCCTCTGCCACTTTTCCCCAGTACCACAAATGTCACGCACACACGTCATTCCCTCCTTCTTCTTTGGATTAAGCAGATTAGACACAACAATAGGGTACTGCTGTCATACTGTTTGTTAGTAATGTTCCTTTTGATAGTTATTTATATTTTTATATAGTCTAGCACTGTGCATATATTCCACCATTCTCTTCATTTTAGCCCAGTTATCCAGGCTGAGTAAAGTGCACAGAGTTAAAAAAAACAAAACAAAATAGTTCCTCCAGCTGAGTCACTTTCTTTAGTTAAAGTGAATTTTAAGAACTTGGAATTGAAAAAGTATTGTTCTTGTTACCCACCATTATTTATGAAGCTTTTTTTAGTTTACTAGCCACTTAAAGAACTTTACAACACATGCCTATATTCACCCATTCACCTTCATGTACTGATGGCAGAGGCTGCAAGGTACCAACCTGCTCATCAGGAGGGGTTACGGGTGAAGTAGGAATGATCTTGGATCTAGCATTTAAACTTTGGAAATGAACAATATTTACATGCTCATAGATTCTGTATTTTTACATGAGAAAGGAGGAGATGCCATTTTAATATTTTAACTAGTTAATTAAAAAGATATAAAATATGTATGAGTGTAAAAAGAGAAAAGACTTCTCGATTTATGAAGGTGACTTCATCTTTTGTATTAAACACTAAATAAGAAATGTTTACATTTCACAGACAGAGTAAGAGGTCATATGTTTAACCTGATCACTCACACAGCTCTCTGACTTGATTGTGTTTGTGTGTGCAGAGTATGTGAATGCCCAGGACATCCCTACAGACATGAAGTCCATCACAGACCGAGCTGCTCAGACGCTGCTGTGGACAGAGCTCTTCAGAGGTCAGCTGAACTTCACACACTTTAAGAATGTGACACATTATAGAATGACTCTTTTTTTTTTTTCAGCTCTGATTTACAAATCAGGAAAGAGGAATCATTTTCAGACAAAGGGGGACTAATACAGAGTTTTCTTTCTACCAACAATTCATGAAGAATCTATTTTCTTTATAAAGTAGTCTTTATAAAGACTAAATAAAAATTAAGGTCGGGGGAAACATTTTTCTTTGTCACTTCTTCATGCTGTCCTGCTCAGCACCACTGAAACAAATTTCTTCATTCTTTGTCTTATTTGGTTTCTGATGAAATCATTTTCAAATTACCTCAGTGTCACAATTATAAATGTTTCATGAAGTACATTTTCATAAAGAGGATATTGCATTTACACATCAAATGTGACCAAAAGGATCTCTACCAGTTGAAGTGGTTTGGCTACTGTTTTCCCAGCAAAATGTTCTTTGTCCATGGGATCTGCATGTGAGTTTGACAAATATCCTTTCTCCTTCAAACCTGAGTGATTATATTGTGATGTCAGGTCTGGGCATGACAATGAGCTACCTGTTCAGAGAGCCGGCCACCATCAATTACCCATTTGAGAAGGGACCGCTGTCTCCGCGCTTCAGAGGAGAACACGCCCTGCGCAGGTGAGGATGCCCACTCAATAACCACTCAGTTTTCTGCACCGCAAAATTATAAGGCCCTATAATAACAACTGCCCTGTATAGATAAAGTTCTAGAAAAAGCAACATGAAATTAAAGCGGCAAGCAGCGTTGAGCAGGCCCTCGCACTTGTAGTGCGTCTGGGTGTGAGCCGGCCGAGTTACATATTCTGGAGCTGGGGGGGGGGGGGGGAGAGAGAGAGGGAGAGGGGGGGGGGGGGGAGAGAGAGAAAAAGAGAGGGATGGAAGGAGAGGAACAGAGAGAAAAGAGAGGGATGGAAGGAGAGAGAGGGGAGGGAGGTTGCATACAGAGGGAGAGAAAGTAGAGGAGAGAGGAGCTCAGTGCATCATGGGAAATCCCCCGGCAGCCTAGGCCTATAGCAGCATAACTAAGGGATGGTTCAGGACTCACCTGAGCCAGCCCTAACTATAAGCTTTATCAAAGAGGAAAGTCTTAAGCCTACTCTTAAATGTGGAGATGGTGTCTGCCTCCTGAACCCAAACTGGAACCTGGTTCCACCGGAGAGGAGCTTGATAGCTGAACGCTCTGGCTCCCATTCTACTTTTGGAGACTCTAGGAACCACAAGTAATCCTGCATTCTGGGAGCGCAGTGCTCTGGTGGGATAGTAAGGTACTATGAGCTCTTTAAGATAAGATGGTGCCTGACCATTAAGAGCTTTGTAGGTAAGAAGAATGATTTTAAATTCTATTCTGGATTTTACTGGAAGCCAATGCAAAGAAGCTAAGACAGGAGAAATATGATCTCTTTTCCTGGTTCCTGTCAGAACACGTGCTGCAGCATTCTGGATCAGCTGAAGAGTCTTAATGGACTTTTTCGAGCAGCCTGATAATAAGGAAATGCAGTAATCCAGCCTAGAAGTAACAAATGCATGGACTAGTTTTTCTGCATCAGTTTTAGACAGGATGTTCCTGATTTTTGCAATATTACATAGGTGAAAAAAGGCGGTCCTTGAAATTTGCCTAATGTGAGACTTAAACGACATGTCCTGATCAAAGATAACTCCAAGATTCCTCACAGTGGTGCTGGAGGCCAGGGCGATGCCATCAAGGGAAACTATATCTTTAGATAATGCGTCACGGAGGTGCTTAGGCCCCAGAACAATAACTTCAGTTTTATCTGAGTTTAACATTAGAAATTACAGGTCATCCAGGTTTTAACATCCTGAAGGCACATTTGAAGTTTAGCTAACTGATGAGTTTCATCTGGCTTGATCTATAGATATAACTGAGTATCATCTGCATAACAATGAAAGCTTATGGAATATTTCCTGATAATATTGCCTAAAGGAAGCATATATAAAGTGAAGAGGATTGGTCCGAGGACAGATCCTTGAGGAACTCCATGACTAACTTTGGCATGCATGGAGGACTCATCGTTAAGATTTACAAACTAATAGGACTTAAACCGGCTTAGAGCGGTTCCTTTAATGCCAATGAAATGTTCCAGTCTCTGTAATAGGATCTGATGGTCAGTGGTATCAAATGCAGCACTAAGATCTAATAAAACCAGTACAGAGACAAGTCCTCTGTCTGATGCAATAAGGAGGTCGTTAGTAATTTTCACCAGTGCTGTCTCTGTGCTATGATGAGATCTAAATCCTGACTGAAAATCCTCAAATAAATTATTGCTCTGTAGAAAGTCACACAGCTGTTTAGCAACTGCTTTCTCCAGAACCTTAGAGAGAAATGGAAGGTCTATAGTTGGCTAAAACATCCGGATCAAGTTTGGGCTTTTTCAGAAGAGGTTTAATTACAGCTACTTTAAAGTACTGTGGTACATAGCCTGTTGATAGAGATAGATTGATCATATCTAGTATAGAGGTGCTGACTAAGGGTAAAACATCTTTAAGCAACCTAGTCGGGATGGGGTCTAAGAGGCAGGTTGATGGTTTAGATGAAGAAATTATTGAAGTTAGTTGGTAAAGATTGAGGGACGCAAAACAGTCTAAACATATATCTAGTTCTACAGCTGTTTCTAAGGTTCCTGAGTTTAGAGATAAGTTGGTGCCAGTTGAGGGCAGGTCTTGGTGAATTTTGTCTCTAATCTTTCCAGAGCTCAAGGTCACTTTACATGGTACATTTACAATACATTTACACACTAACACACAACTTACAATCACATAGGATACATATAGTCACATTTAAAAGAAATACATGTTAAATAGATATGTTTTTAACTGTGTCTTGAATGTAGCCACAGATGAAATATTTCGAAGTGAAAGGGGCAGTGAATTCCATAATTTTGGAGCATTAACACTAAATGACCTTCCACCTACTGTAGACAACCGGAAACGAGGGATGTACAGTAAACCAAGTTCAGTTGATCTGAGAGACCATGCAGGGCGGTAATGGTCGTGGGGATTAAAAACAGCTTTCACAAGGTGGTGTAATGTGAAAAATTAAGACTTTTTTTTTGTTTGTTTTTTTAACATGCGGGAAGTACAGTCACGATGCTGGGTCCACATTGGACGATGGCATCGTTTATCAGCCCCGCACTAGTATCAACATTACGCTTGTTTCGGTCGCTTACTGTCCCCTGCAGGTAGCCTTTCCCCTGATAGCTTGTCCATAGCCCAGTCATCATCAGGCCTAATTGTAAAAGGACCAAAGCTCTTAGACGAAAACACAGACAGCACAAGTTCGCTGTGCTAAAGCATCCCCTTCAGGTGTTATTGTCCTCTAAATGGGACCATCATGATTTAGAATTCCAATGTCAATGTTATGAACGAACTTTACCTAACAAACAGCACTCTAGATTAAACCTTAACAGTCTTTGTAATGACTTTACACTAGGTATCCTTCAGGAGAGGAGCGCTGCATTGCCTGTAAGCTGTGTGAAGCTATCTGCCCCGCCCAGGTACACACACACACAGCCACACTTACAAACAACATCCACTGCATATGTTGCTTGATTGCCTCACATCTATCTTTGTGTGTGTGTGTGTGTGTGTGTGTGTGTGTGTGTACACTGCTCAAAAAAATAAAGGGAACACTTAAACAACACAATGTAACTCCAAGTCAATGACAATCCTGCGAAATCAAACTGTCCACTTAGGAAGCAACACTGATTGACAATCAATTTCACATGCTGTTGTGCAAATGGAATAGACAACAGGTGGAAATTATAGGCTATTAGCAAGACACCCCCAATAAAGGAGTGGTTCTGCAGGCGGTGACCACAGACCACTTCTCAGTTCCTATGCTTCCTGGCTGATGTTTTGGTCACTTTTGAATGCTGGCGGTGCTTTCACTCTAGTGGTAGCATGACTTTTGGTATTTGCCAGAGAACACCAAGATTGGAAAATTCGCCACTGGCGCCCTGTGCTCTTCACAGATGAAAGCAGGTTCACACTGAGCACATGTGACAGACGTGACAGAGTCTGGAGACGCCGTGGAGAACGTTCTGTACGGCCTGTAGTGTGGTTTTCCACTTTGATTTTGAATGTGACTCCAAATCCAGACCTCCATGGGTTGATAGATTTGATTTCCATTGATAATTTTTGTGTGATTTTGTTGTCAGCACATTCAACTATGTAAATACCAGGTAACTGACAGAGCTTTATGCCAGTTTTTTGTCTGCTCTGTGTCTCTTCATCTCCAACACTGTGTGTGTCCAGGCCATCACCATCGAGGCAGAGACTCGTGCTGATGGCAGCAGGAGGACGACTCGCTATGACATCGACATGACCAAATGCATCTACTGCGGCTTCTGTCAGGAGGCGTGTCCTGTGGATGCTATCGTAGAGGTATGTGCATTATCCCATGTTACAGCACAGTGTGAACTCAGGGTTTCTGCAGGTTCTCAGAATTGACCTAACTTAAAAGAATTAATACATTCAGAACAGTAATCAAATTTAATATTTTATTATAACTTGTTTTCAAAGCAGCAATAAAAGTAAGGTTTACAGCAGGTAAGTTCCCATTTATAAATAAATGTCACTGGAACCAAATGGAACAATCTGACATTTCTGACAAAATACTGAGTGAATCAGCCTTTTACCAGTACTGCTGGTTTTGCGGCACTTGCAGTAACTGCCGTACTTATGGTGAACTTGTGTAATTTACACTGGTCTCCGCTAGCTTTGCTCCATGTATGTGTGTGCGGAGCTTTGCTGAGAGAGGAGGGCAGCGGCTGCAGCGTGGTGGCTTGCTTATTCTATGGGCTACTTCTGTACAATAGTCAGTGTTAATAGGCTATTACTCGTGACTTGTAACCAATTAGCTAGTACTGTGGGCAGACTCTGCTCCGGCACACAGAGTGGTGAGTACAGACAGAGAGAGGCGATTGCATCAGAGCCAAAGGAGCGCATTTTTTAATTAATTAATTATGTAAGCTATCTGCAATTAATCCATCAATATAATACCAATGGTTGCCCAGCAGATGCCGCCACTTTATCAAACATTTCTGGACAATTGCTTGTTCAGTGCTCAAGAAAGCTTAGTTTCCCCCACCACTAACTGTTATTTTAATGTGATGATCCTCATCTTTACATCTGTCCTTTCTTCTTTTCCTTTTATTCCTGCTGTTACCTCTCTTTCTTACATTCCTCTCTTCATCTTTCCTTCTTTCTTCAGGGTCCTAACTTTGAGTTTTCCACTGAAACCCACGAAGAACTGCTCTACAACAAGGAGAAGCTGCTCAACAATGGAGACAAGTGGGAAGCTGAGATAGCTGCCAACATACAAGCTGATTACCTCTATCGATAGACACCACACACACAGAGTGTACAGTCAGCACACCAGCATAACCTCTCTGACATCCACATACGTCCATACTGTACATACTGAAAGAAGACTGACTCAGCTGCGACGGATGTGCTTCAGGGTTGGATTTGGGTTTGCTGATGCATCTTTAAGTTTTGTAACAGTTCCTTTGGTGTCAGTGTCGTACTCTTCTTATATGTTGAATATACCTTTCTCTACACATTTATTGTAGAATGATGAATACTACCAATGCTGTCTGTGTGTTAAGTGTACAGCTGTCTCAGCACGGCCCACTCTGGGATCATGAGAGCCATGTGGTTGTCTGTACAGTCCCATTGAACTAAAACACAAGGAGGTTGAGTCATGCTGTGACAGTATGAGTGCTGTACACTGATTGCAGACTTTATCCTGGATTGATTCTGATGTCCTACAGTATACATAGACTATTGTTATTATTTTGAGTGTCAGTGCAGAGTTGTATGGCCTTTGTGCTCTTTCTACCCTGACTCAAAAAATTAAATTCTGTTAGAAACACTTGATGTGTCAAGCGTGAAAGTTTTGTATTGACTTTGGAAAAAGTAGGAGACACAAAAAGAGCAATGTAATCCACTTCTCAAGGTCACCAAATTGGGTAGAATCAGGCCATTGATGAAGGCTGCGGTCCCTGTGAGATGTGGTTTAAAACTCTGGAAAAAGGTATTAAATGGACACAGTTAAAAGGGCTTTTTGTTTTGTTACTTTAGCTTGGCAGCTAGCGATGGCTTCTCCCTCTCCCATTCGGTGTGCCAAATATTTAGAAGCTTTCATTTCTAGAGCATTTATCAATTATCAAAGTACCTTACAGAGAGTTAGCCGTTTCTCTGCCTCTTTTAATGATAATGGTACATATAACAAGTGTAGTTTTTTTTTCGCGTTGGCAGTGAGGCTTAATGAATTGGAAACTCAATCGTTAGCTACTGTAGTTAGCCAGCCCTAAATAGCCTGTGCGGACCGGCCAGAGGTAGTTCCTGTCTGAGGTAGCTGTCCCCTGGCATCTCCTGAGCACCCAGGAAGCCAGGGAGGCTGGGTGACTGTCCAAAAGAGGAATAGCCCTAAGCTTAAGACCACTGTTCAACACCAACCCGTTTACATTTCTCACATCAGGGGTTGACAAGATTAACGTTGAGTCGTACATATGCAAAAACAATGTTGGGCACCGTAGTTTTCTCTGGAACCCTGCCAAATCTGACCAGTGATGACATGTATGTCATCATTTCGCTGCTGGTTGTCAAGGTGGTGTCCAGCAAACGATGTGGGCTTCGTAGCTCATTGGCAGACATTCTGGGCAAGACCTGGGCCCAATCCCAATGTCCCCCCTAAGCCCTGAACCCTCACAGACTTTACTGATGTCACTTGGAAAGTGATTGAGTTTGAGAGGCTGCAAGGGCTCACAATGCTGTAAACAGGAAGTTACCTTGAAGACGCTGAAACACGTTGCACAAACATAACGTCAGCTTTGGTGTCAATGCTTGTTTGTTTACCGTCTTTCTTCTTCTTTAATACGCGGATTTGCCGTGATATTTCTTTTACTTCCAGGCTTCCCCTGGTAATCCCCGTGTGTCACGTCATACCGCTATGAACTGTGAGCAATTCCCTCAGCCAAAGTCTGCAGAAATGCGGACTTACAAAAAGAGTCAAAATGTCTGCAAGAGAGCCCTCGCACACTTGACGATTTGACAGTGGGACAGCCCTAAGCCCTCACGGACTTCCCAGGAACGCGCCTCAAAGTCTGTGAGGGTGGACATTGGGATTGGGCCATAGTCTGATTCGGAGAGACGGCATCCATCCCACTTATGATGGAGCAGCTCATATCTAGAAACCTGGCCAAGTTTATTAGTGGACCAAATCCATGACAATCCAGAGTTGAGACCAGGCTGCAGAGTTGAAATTAATATCAGATTATCATTTATTTTGTCTTACTGAAACCTGGCTGGGTGATGGAGAATATGTTAGCCTAAATGAATCCACGCCTCACAGTCAAATTAATACTCTCATTCCTCGAGGCACAGGCCGAGGAGGTGGAGTTTCATCTATCTTCGACTCTAGCCTACTAATCAGCTCTAAACCTAAACTAAATTATTTATTTATTTATAATTATTTATATTATTATTATTATTTGAAAGCCTTGTTCCCAACTACCCAACCTGGAAAACACTGCAGCCTAGGACTGTCCCCGACTAAGGATTTACATAGACTAATCAGAATTGTCAAGTCCTGCCTATAGTCCACTGATTCATGTGTGCTTTTGTGTGCGGGGGGGGGGGGGGTCGCACACGGTAGCTCAGCTTTAATCTTGAGAAGATGCAGAGCTGCAGTCTATTCATTCAACTTACACTGTAAATATCCAGCTAAACTGAGGCTTTTTGAAGACCTTTCGCTCTCTCTCTCTCTCGCCTGTCATTCACCAGTCTTGTGTGAGTTTTGCATGCATTCTATACTGTTGACAACTACACGCACGTTGCGGTTACCCCTATTTCAAGTAGCCGGCTATTTAAAAAAAACAATAAAATATTCTTTGTGTGGTTCATTAAAGGTGATAAATTATCCAAAAGTCCAGCGAGGTGTGGACAACTCGGCACAACACCAGTGAAGCCCATCCGACACGCGCGCACTACGGCTTCACCTTTTGAACAAGGCTCAAAAGGTGAAGCCGTCAACACCAGAGAAGGAGACTCAAAGGGACATGTTTTTGTACAGAGCATACATAGCCCAGAGGAAGTATGCTGTTGCCCTGGATGATATCAAGGCCAACTCTCCACCCCAGCTTCAGGCTGTCAGGATGTTTGCGGAGTATAAATCCAATGAAAGCAAAAGAGATGCTATTGTTGCTGATCTAGACAAGAAGATGGCAAGGAGTTTGGTTCCGCCAACACCACTTTCCTCCTCACGGCTGCTCCATCTACTACCATGAGATGAACGCGGATGCCTACTACATTTTCCAGGAGATGTCTGACAAGTGTGTTCTGTTTTTTGTTGTTGTTCTTTTTTTCTTCTACTTTGATGCTTAGTCTGCATATCTCGTGACTTAATATGGGAAAAGGAGTGGAACTCTGTACAAGCCTAGTCTGGCTTCGTTCCCTCCTTGCATTGTTCTGGACTTGTACCAAACGTGCTAAACAAATAAACTAAACTAAACTAAACTAAGTACTCCTCTACACTGCTGCTCCTCAACGGGCAGGCGGCCTGTTACATACTGTTACTGTAGAGCAAGTAGGAGGAGGCTGAGGGAGTGCTACAGGAGGCACTTGACAAGGATAGCAGTCACCATGAGACGTTGATCAACCTCATTGTGCTGACCCAGCACCTGGGCAAAGCTCCTGACGTAACCAAAGGGTACCTCTCTCAGCTGAAAGATGCACACAGATCCCACCCATACCTCAAAGATTATTTAGCTAAGGAGAATGAGTTTGATAGACAAGTGATGCAGTACGCTCCCACCGCCACAGCATAAGACATCTGCTTTCACTGTAACACCTCAATTATGAACCATAAATTCTCTACACTCTGTCTTTGTAACATGCATACCTGCATTTGTTTATTTTAACTTGTAAGAAAAAGTGTGTTTAATTGAAGCTGATTCTGATTCTGTCAGCCTTTAGTATCCATTCTTTATAAATCTGCATTTCTCCTATGGAAACAATACATATGTTTAATGTAAACATTCCTCTGAAATGACAATAAATGTTTAATACCTGTGAAGGAAAAAAAAAAAGGGGTGGCTGTGGCTCAGGAGGTAGAGCGGGTTGACTATTAATCGGAAGGTTGGCGGATCAATCCCCAGCTCCTCCAGGCTGCATGTCAAAGTGTCCTTGGGCAAGATACTGAACCCTGGCAATTGTTCTGCCAGTTCCGTGTGAATGATGAATGCAGATGGCCTAGGCCTAGACTGCCTGTGTTACTAACACAACTTCTCCCCTTTCGGTAGTCTTGTGCTTACTCGTCCCTCTCCTCTCTCCTCCTATCACTTCCTGCAGGTTTTCTGGCTCTGGAGCTGTGGAGTCTGGATCTGTGGCTGCGGGCCACCTGCTGCCCCCGTGTTCCTGCTCGACACCCTCTCCTGCAACGACTATTGTTACTAGTCCTATTGTTATTATTGTTATTATAATCATTACGATTGTTATCATTAACACTACTATAAATATCTGTACCATTTTTCATTTAGTCTATAGCAACATCACCTTTACTGTCTGTACCTCTGTGTGTATATTGTGTAGGCTGCCTCCTCTCTCTCTCTCACCCCAACCGGTCGAGGCAGATGGCCGCCCACCCTGAGCCATGGTTCTGCTCGAGGTTTCTGCCTCTTAAAAGGAAGTTTTTCCTTGCCTCTGTCGCCTAGTGCTTGCTCTTGGTGGGAACTGTTGGGCTTCTGTAAATAGCATCATAGAGTACGGTCTAGACCTGCTCTTTTATGAAAAGCGCTGAGATAACTGTTGTTGTGATTTGGCGCTATATAAATAAAATTGAATTGAATTGAATTGAATTGAAGATGTAGTGTAAAAGGGCTTTGTGTGGTCAAAAAGACTAGAAAGGCGCTATACAAAAATACGGAGCATTTACATTGACACCTACACATGCGCACTGACGACCCAGGGTTAGGGTTACAATTTTGGATTTTACTTTTGGATATTTATTGGAAGATTTATTCTTTTTACATGTTTATTTACAGCAATAAATGTTGAAATGTATATTGTAATAGGCTGTATATTAAGTTATTGGGAGAAAACTGGTAGTTCTATGTAAAATCAGACATTGAGCACCCCCATATTGCCAAAATGGCGTGATCCTTGTTTCACTGCGAAGCTTCGACTGTGAGATTGACAGTCGAATTAGGCTCCGCCCATCAAAGCATTGAATCTTCGACTATTGGGGGTCAGCCCTACTGCAGCCAATTCTTTTTGTTACAGTATACCGAGCACCTGGTCCATATCAATTTTTATCCTTAAAACAGATACAGTTACTGTAGATGATTTTAATATTCATGTAGTTTTATCCTTTTTGCCGTAACACTACTTAACAAGAGTACTTGCTAATTAAAAATTATGTTTAATTATGTCATACAATAAAATGCAAATTAATTATTTAAAAATCATACAATGTGATTTTCTGGATTTTTGTTTTAGATTCCGTCTCTCACAGTTGAAGTGTACCTATGATAAAAATTACAGACATCTACATGCTTTGTAAGTAGGAAAACCTGCAAAATCAGCAGTGTATCAAATACTTGTTCTCCCCACTGCATATACACACACATATATATATAAATATACACACACACATACATATACACTAGGGGAGAGCAGGGAGATTTTAAAAGATTATGTTGTAGACAGTGATATATTTTTCCTATAGTCACTAACTGGTGTGGTCTATGAATATCAGGTGGTATTTTGTACAAATGTAGAACAACTTCCATATAATTTCACTTTAAACATAAGAGGCACATTGTTACTTTCAACTCCATCAGTTGGGTCAAAAGTAACACAACTAGATTTTTTGTGTTTCCCTTTTTCTTATTAAATATACGTGACCTATGACCTTGTAAATATGTAACTGCAAATGTATTTTGTCCTTGCACAAAAATTTATAAATTACATTTTCATTGTATTTATAATTTTTATTGGCAATGTCAATCCATTTTATAAAACATTTCTTCAACAATAATATGAAAATGAATATTCATAACATAAATATAAATTCTCAAAATAATGCAAAGATAGTCATGTTTCTATCCAGCTGTTTTTATACGCAATTCCAAAATGTGCATGAAAACATCTGGCTGAATCAGACCTCTGTCTGTCTTTCTAACCCTCACTCTACAACATAAACATGTTTCAATACATGCTGCAACACAGAGAAATTCACCACATTAGCAGCGGGACAAAAGAAACACTTGTGGTCACTGTAGCAGGACAAAAGTAACACTTGTTATTTTCAGCTAAAGTAACAAGTGTTACTTTCGTCCCGACAGGAACTCCTGACATATCAACTTGATTTATTTTTACACTGAAAAACTCTGACAGGGTGTGTTAAAGCACTAAATAACCTGTAGATTAACCATTAGTACTGTGACACATGAAACGAGAGACACAACTTGGAATTCAAAAATCAGTAGGCCTACTGCTTCAGAAATTTACTTACTGACACAAATGCAGTCAGGGCTCTGAGAAAATCGCCTTGTTATTTTTGTCATTGACAAGGTTAGAAATATAGTTTTAATTGAAATAATAATTGCTTTCATCAAATAATCCACCCTTTGCAGCAATTAAAGCCTTGCAGACTTTTTGCATTGTTACGGTGGCTCCGAGGGCTCAGCGAGAGATTTTCTTTGAGGACTACTTTGCATTTGCTCGGAATACTTTTGCAGTACCTCGCAATACTTTGCGTCTCACAATATGTTTTGAATTCCCTCACAATACTTTTGCGTTACCTAGCAATACCTATCTTCTTCCGTTACTTCTGAGCCATAGCTGTCATTTTGGCTCAGGCAGCTGCTCCCAGCTCCTTTTAGGTGCCCTGACGTGAAGTTACATGAGCTGTGTACGGACAGGTGGTCCATTTCAGGTAAAGTTTTGTGTTTTAAATGACACAATGTAACTTATCGAATGTCAGCATTGGGTAAAGGGGAAAAACGCAGTGATTTTGATAGTGAGGTGGTCCAACTCCTTTAGTCTGTAATGTTTGCACAACAGTGGTGTTGTCAGTGTGTTTAACGTTACGGTTTCTGCAGCAGATTGTCTTTCATTGCAGCAGTAGGCCTGTTAATACGTTGTTTATAAACTTCAGGATTGTTGTCCTCCAATGAACGTTAGCTTCACAATGTTCACTTGAGTGAGTAAGCTAACTTTAATGTCGTCATTGCTGCATCTGTAACATATAGACGACAACATGCAGTGTCAATTAATGGACTGTGGAATTAGCCATTGTTTATTAGAACTTTGTTGTTTACATTAATAACATAATGCTACGTAAAAAAGTTAGCAGTTGCTCTTATCTGTGAGGGCCTAATGTGGACACATTTTGCTAACATGCTGATAAATATGTGACTTTTACCATGCAAAAGGGATTTTCTTTCCATAATGAAAGAGTTGAAACACCAGCCTTTTCTCACCAACTGGGAAAGACTTGAAGAGACATTAATTCCTCAGAGGTTCTTTAAAGATTCACTTACATGTGACACATTTTTATTTAATAAGATTTTGTCTGTTTTTTTTAAATAGTTTTGTCTTGCGTACAGTATATGTAATATGAGATGTCAGCTTTGTCTGGCATAAATTAAAGAATGTAAAGAAAGGTCAAAATGACTGAATTAATAACTAACTGTTATGTATGTAGACATGGAGGAGGACATTGAGGACTTCCTTAAGTCAAGGAATGTTGCAGAAGAAGATATAAACTGAATGAAAATGGACAAGGTAATGATATAACTACCCTTGAAAATGATCTTTCAAATTAATAACTTATTCACTCAGTATTGAATATATTTCTGATATACTGTAGCCTAAACATTTTTCAGATTAATGTTGTCTGCACCCATTTGAGTTGTACTCAGTTAAAAGAAATGTAAGTAATTTTGAGTTTTAATTTCTAATTGCCGATTGACCGAGCTGTCTTTTGTATTATGACAGATGAAGAAAGGGCAAAATATATCTCTTCATATGGCAACCGCTTGGCAGGAGGGAAGGAAATACTGACTAAGAAGCAGTTTTAGATTTGCCAAAAGATTGCCACAAGACGGATGAAAAAGGCTGGGTCTCTTGGAGAACCAAGTCGAACCTCTGCTGTGCAGAATGTTGGTGTAATGGCAAGACATAAAAATTGTAATGCTAAAAAAAGCACAGAGGATAGAGGTTGGGTGGCTGCATTTCCAAATGATGACTTTCATCAAGTGAGGTCCAAGAATGGAGGAGGAACTAGGCATCTGTCTCAGATTCCTCAGATGACAGTGAGATGTACGAAAAGGTAATATGTAGAGCAGAAAAAATTTACATTTACCGATGCCAGCTTTTCGAATGTGTAGCTGATTTTCATAAATTACAATTACAATACAACAAGTATTTTTTAATTCAGCTTAAGCTCTTAAAATTCTCAAGGACCTTTCTTACTTTTTAAAGAAAATATGATAATGCACACATTTGGGGGGACTTCAACTTTGAAATAATTTAAAAAAACATGACTACAGTATAAAGTTGCTTCAGTTTTCCACACTTTATTGTTTTATACAGTAGATTAATTAAAAATATTATTTGATTTTGAATAAATTCACAAAAATTGTTATTGTTATGGTTATTGAGTGTAGATTGATGGGGGAAATGCTTGTCAAGCAACTGTTTATTTGTTTCTTTAAAACTCACCTCGCTGTGTATTTTTTGTTACTATATATGTTTTTTAACAGCATCCCAAAAAACTCAGACGACCTGATCAACAGATCCAACTTTGGATTCCCGCACTGCCACCCCAAGCAGCAGAACACTCAAGTCCAGTGCAACACTCGATAGCAGATGATGTTGCATCGTTGAGTCCAGTTCAGCATGTCACACCCATGTGCAACACAGGGAGTTATTATGACAAACTTCAACAGAGATTTGGCTGAAGATGGTGTTGATGACCTTCCTACAACTCTTCTATGGACAGAAGACCATTCTGATGAGACTGGTGCACAACCCCCAGAAGTATATGTGGTAATAGATTTTTGGTTATATTTAAAGTCTAACCTTATTTGTAGCATCATATAGGTTCATGTTTTTGTTTTGTTTGTTTTCATTCCCATTTTATATTCATGTAATATTTCCGCAAAGCCACCAAATAAGCTCTCATCGCTCTCAAGCTCATCGTTACGTATGTCCGTATTCATATTTCTTTGCTGGACTTTGACATGACATATCTTGATATACACAGATCCAAACATTGACACAATGAATGTTTGTATACTTGACATTGGTATAATCCTGCAGTATTAAAAAACTAAAACTGTCCCTGACAGTATTGGTCAAGATATCATGGTCTTGTTTTTTCAGCACCATAAATGTTTGCCAGCCATCCATCCGTATTTCACAATGAATGCCTAGATAGGCAAGTGTTACTGACATGTATTGTAACACACCCTACTACATGTAGTGAAATGAACTGTCCAAACTACTCACCACACTGCCTCTTTAATGTGGTCAATGTAGGAGTCCATCACGACAGTCCATACATTTTACCATAAAGCCAAAATTCCACCAATACTTAAAAGTAATGTGTTTCCTTGCGTGGTGGCACTTCAGGGCACACTTGAGGAGAGTGAAAAAGAGGATTTGCTTGATTTGTTTTCACAAATGGGTTCCCATCTGAGCAAAAAAAAAAAGGTAGCCATTGAAACTATGGCCCAAGAACCCAAATACGTAATAGACTGCTTTTCAAGCAGCCTGGCAGATGTGCAGTCGAGCCTAACCAAGTTAACTCATGACTACAACGTTATAACCCAAATTCACGGCCCCACCAGGAGAACAACAAACGCACGTGTGTACATTTACAGCTGAGGTCTGCAGTTTCATTTTACAATGGGTAGGCTGTAACATTACAGAGTTGTTTTCTTTTAGCATGAAATAATCCCATACTTCAGATACTTTCTTCTTCGTCCCTTGCTATTTTCTCTCTCTTCCTCCATTGTTCACAGCGTAAGCACAATGTGCAACAGTAATAAATGTGAAACAGTGTGCTGTATAGTTACATGGATTAAACGAAGCATCAATGCAAATTCTTTGCGTCAATTAGTCAAATTAATTGATTTATTTACTATCTGTGAGCATACTTAGCATACTAACAGACTTAGGCAGGGGAGTATGAGTAATGTCTGTAACCAAAAAATAGGGAGGATAACCAACAAAGTCAACATCACTGCCAAGATAATGGGGATAATGAGCATTTTGCGCCAAGTGGGATACTCCCTACTGAGGAAAGACATCCAGCCATGTGAAAAGTATCACATAACAAAGAATGATGGGTTTTACGCAATAAGTGATTGATTAACTGTGATTGTGTAATCAGAACATGTTTTGATCTTTACAATATGTCCCTTTGAGGTTTTAATAGTGTTAATTTATGCATGCTTATCTTTAAAAAAAGATTTTACCTCCATGGTTCTTATGGTGAATGTTAAGATTAGATCATCCAAAAATATAACAAATGTTGGGACAAAGTTTTATAGTCAAATATAGCTAAATTTACTATGTAAAAGTAGAATTATTAACAAAGATTAAACAAATTAGAACTAAAATTAGTACACAAAAGAGGCCACTTGATGGCAGTAGAGGATAATAATTCATCATTAGAACTCGCAGGAAAGGGTGCCGTCAGCAAACACAGAAAAATAAATTGTGCACATTTGTGTATTATTTCTGAAAATAAAACCCCAACAAAATCACATTACAATAGCTTAAAATTTCAGTGTTTATCCATAGTTTTATGTAATTTTATGTGACCTTAGATGAAAGTAATTTGGTTGGTTATGCTCTCCACAGTTATTTTACATTTATGGCACAGCATGTTTTGGGTATCACCCCCTACAACCCTGTTGATATGACCTCAGAATCATTATAGATAGATTATAGATTGTTCATATTTGCCTTTTGTGTCTATATTTTACAGCTTTTGACATTTATTTGTAGACATTAATATAAAAAAATAGACAACATGAGTTTCACATGCACCTCCCTTCTGAGGTGCATTTTATTTGCACATTAAAATCCAAAAAGAAACGTCACCTAATTAGCTTTAAAGGACTAGTTTGCATCACTAATTTGCTTTACTAACCTCAGATCATCCAGTCACCTCCATCCTTTCTTTTCCTAACAACCACTTTTTCAGACTCATCTGAAAACTGAAAAATAATTTAGGGCCCATGTCCACCAAAGTGTTTTTGCCAGCTGAAAACGCCAGCTGCTCACGCCAGCTGCTCACGCCAGCTGCTCTTCTCAAAACGCCCAGCAGGGCGCGCTAGCGGGTGTTTTTGAGGCGCAGCTTCTTTTCAGACTGCTTTGGTTGATATGATACATTTGTTGCAAGTAGTACTACCTAACTTTACTGGATGTAAAAATGTCAACACAGAGTACAGTAGCCTACTTGCTCTGCATGAAGAGAAGTCAGCCTGGGCAATTCGGGTTCAGTATCTTGCCCAAGGATACTTCGACATCCAGCCTGGAGGAGCCGGGGATTGAACCACTGACCTTCCGATTAACAGGCAACCTCTGGCTCTACCTCCTGCGCCACAGCTGCCCTGTCGAAGCGCTCTGGCTGTGGTAACAACAGTGGTAACAACAGTCGTCATGGTCATTAGAACCGTCATGGCCAAGTCTGAACGACCATCGTTGGCATCTACACCTGAGGCCAAGAGGAAATGCTTGTTCAGTTTCCTGGGAAGTGATGAAAGGACAGCAATTTAAGTGGTGGCGTAGACCCCCTCCTCTGTTCATTGATGGCTTCTCAACCCGGGTGTAGATGGCTTCCTTGACACCTCTTTCAAACCATCCATCTCCATTCTCTGTCTAAAATGTGCACCTGGTGGTCCTCAAACGAGTGTCATCTGTCCTTCAGATGTAAGTAGACAGCAGAGTCTTGACCTGAGGAGTTGGCCCTTCTGTGTTGAGCCATGCGTGTAGTGGTTGTTTAGTTTCCTCAATGTACAGGTCTGTGCATTCCTCGCTGCACTGGATCATATACACTAGATTGCTTTTCTTGTGTTTGGGTGTGCGGTCTTTGGGGTGTACCAGTATCTAAAAACACAGGGTGTTTGTGTTTGTTGAAAATCCTCCTGAGTTTCTCTGATACTCCAGACACATATGGAATCACAATGTTGTTGTTTGACCTTCTTTTCCTCCTCCCCTGTAGTTTTGTTCTTCTTCCTGGATTTTGTGGCTGTTTTCACAAAGGTCCGTTTAGGGTCCACAGGCTGTAAGTGCCCCCTTCAGGTGGTTCTGTTCCTTCTCTCTGGCTTCTGCACTTGTGGGTATGTAGTCTGCTCTGTGGTGCAGGGTTCTGATGACTCCTAGCTTGTGGGTGGTGGGAATCAAAAAGTAATGGTCTGTGTGTGTGTGGGTTTCCTGTAAACCCAATTTGCAGGCTCCTGTCCTCTTCAGTGTGTAGAGCACAGTCCAGGAAGGCCAAACTGTTGTGGACATCTTTTCGTGTGAACTTGATGTTACTGTCCATGGAGTTGATGTGTTCTGTGAAGGCTTGCACTTCCTGGGTTTTTTTATTTTGACCTAAGTCACACATACCTGTACCAGTGGCTCGGTGCTGTTCCTCTGAAGGAGTGTAATGGGAATTCCAGACATTTTGCATGTAACCCTGGACTCAGGGAGACTAATGTGTGATTTGGCACTGAATCTGTGTACAAGTAACAGTCCAAATATCTCTGTTCTCTTTGTTATCCAGACTTCAGGGACAAATTGTTTCTGACTGACCCTAAAGCTGGATAAATAACAGGCTCACTCAGCTGTCCTCACTCATTCAAGCATACATGCATGTATGTGTTTGCTGTGAGTCCTTCTGCAGAAGACTTGAAGAAAATTCACAGAAAGACAAGTGTTTGCCTGAGCTATTTATTTGAAAACCTCGGATTGCCAGCACAGGAGTTAAAGCCTTTTTCCTCCACTTCTTCCATGTAGATGGTCAGCCACAATGGGTGACACAGGTGAGCCCATGGAACAGCCATGCTTTTGTCTGTAGAATCCTCCGTTGTACTGGAAATAGGTGGTGTTAGACAGAGGTCTAGTAATTTACAGATCTGGTCAGGGCTGAGGCTAGCTCTAGTTTTCCAGGGTGTTGTCTTGTAGTAGCAATTTCTTTACGGATTCTACTGCCTACATGGTGGGGATGCACGTGAACAAAGAGGTCATCTTAGGACACCGTGGTTTCATCTGGGTCCGGTTTTACTCCTCGAACTTTTGTGGTGTCTGAACAATAATGCTGTGATGATGTTTGAGAAGAAATCCGCTTGACACTGTTCTTGATCATAAAAGTTTATTACATCAAGGAATTCAGCATCAATTACAAGCTCTGCAGCAGCTTGGAGAGTGACCCAGCCCGATGGCGACTCTGTCTCTCTGTACATCAACACAGCTTATATAGGACATGTTTAGGTATCTGCCAAATACCATATAAGGGCACAGTGCTGTAGGATAAGTGTAACATCTGTTAGACACCATAGAAGAGTTCAGTCCTTCATAAACCTAATCTCTACTCCCCCTAACACTGGGTCAGAGGTCAAATTCCATAGG